TGTATATATTTATATATATATATAATACATATATATTTATCTAGGTTTTTTTCATCCCGGAAGCTGAATATAATCGAAAAATAACTATTGTGCTTCTGTTCTCAAGTCACAGTCAGCAGAGTGCCTTAGATACCTTCCCCTACCAAAATGCAGCTAATGGTAGTCCTTACTATCAGCTTGTGTGTTCCTTTCACAAGACACAACTCATTGTCCAGATGCAGCTGTACCAAACAACTTTGAAGTAAATATAGGGCCCAGGTCTCATTTGCTCTAAGGCCCAATATTTTGCTTTCAAGCAACATTTATGCTCTTTTCAAGAGTTCCTGCTGCACTTCCAGGGCTGTGTACAGGAGCTTTAGTGCAAAAGGGAAGCAGATGTAGAGTGCATCCCTGCTACAAAGGATTTGATTTGTAGAATCATGCCAAATTATCTGCTGGAAAGGAGAAAAATCCTTTCCTCCAAATGGCCCATAGCCTGTGTCAGAATGTTCTGAATTGCCTGCACTCTTGAAACATTCATTACTGCTTTCTGGGTGACCTTTTCCATTGGTTATTTGAAGATTTTAGGAGAAGTGGATCATTTTTCTATTTGAGCAAAACGCTTGTTTTCCTGCATCATAACATTTTTTGTATTTTATTTTTGTTAACCTTGCTTGGTCAGTATGGATCACTTGGCATTTTTCTCCTTGTCCTAAAAGGGTTGCATCAACAGAGTTACTTGTATTTATGTATGTAAATAGATTTCAGAAGCCTTATAGCAAAATATTTAGTGCTTGTAATTACTCTGCATTTTTTTCATTCTTCTGTGTTTTTAATGGACTTACCTTTGTGTTTGCTTAAATACTGTAGTGAGACTTATTTCTTTCCGAATTAGTTATTTTAGGCTTCAAGATTACTTACATTTTATTCACTTTTGTAAACAGTTATAGCATGGTCTCTATTCAACACTCTTCACTTTTTTGTGGTAGGGGAGAAATGAATGTGCAAAAATCTGTGGGTTATTTGTGGTATTCTGGGTTTGACAGTTACATCTTTCTTTAAAACAAGAACTAAACTTTCAGTCTGAGGTGGCCACATGGTAAGTCTGAGGGGAGGATGCTGCAGGAGACTCCTATCAGGATGGCATCAAAGTGAACCCGTTCAGCATTTACTGGCTATGTTTACAAAACAGATGCTGCAGCATCCTGCAGCAGTCACATTTTCCCTTTGACACTCTCATGCTGAACATTTCCCCAGGGGGAAACTACCAGGTTTGGAAGTTTGCTTTTTTTTCGTTTTGACTGCAGGGGATTTCTCTTTTGGGGAGGGTGGGAGGGGAAGGGGGGGATGCTGTTTTCTGGAAGCTGATAGGAAAACAGAATAGAGTAGATTTTTCCCCCACTACAGGAAATCTCTAGATACCACATCAGAGTAGCCTCTTGCTGTACATAGGGATGGCTGTGTCCAGCGCCACGGGAGAATTTGTTACAACTAGCACGCAGAGCAGCTGGACTGCTGCGTTAGTTCTGATGAAGACTTTCTTTCTTTCCGTCTTTCTTTCTTTGTACCACAGTTTCCTCTGTAAATTCAATATCATAATTAGTGTGAATGACAAATAAAA